CGATTAATTTTTTTGTTGTTTGATAGCTAATTCTTCAATGTCGGTTTTGAGTCCAAATTGGCTGGGAAAAATTACAGCCTTGAAGGTGAAAAATCAAAAAATTTGATTTTTTACATTTTGCGCAAAAATGAAAGGCAAACTTTAATGCCTGCAAACAAAAGTGTACAATTAATTTAGAAAGTTGAAATCTAACGCAAAAGATTATTAGAATTATAATATATTAGGTTGGTGCAAAAATAATGACGTAATAGTGTCGTTTTTGGACGTATTTTTAACGTCAAAAAAAACGACATTATTTGTGTCATTATTTTTGCACCAACCTAATATATATATATATATATATATATATATATATATATATATATATATATATATATATGTATATATATATATATATATATTATAAATGAAAAAAATTATCGTATATTATTATTATGTTGGTCCATTGAAGAGGTAATTTTGTTGACTAGACTGAGAACGCAAAAACAAAACGGCCATTTTCAGATCCCTCAACTATTTAAATTGTTAATCCCCACCATTTGGTAATGTGTCTCAGTTGCACCCAATTGATGTTACTAATATTGATTTTCGGGTGGGCTGACTTGAAATTTACACTGCTCTAATTGAACGGCAAAAATTCCCAGTAATGAAACGAAGACAGGTTATACTGCTAATACCCCCCTCCCCTACGAGGGCTGTATATAGCACAAGGCCGAGTTTATCGTGGGTTCTTCGAGCCCGTAGGCTGGGCCAAAAATATTCCCTTAGAACCCGCATAAACGGGTTCAGGGCCTGTCTACCTCCCAGAACCAGACGAAAATTTGCCCTTCGGCAAAGCCTCGTGCGGGTTCCTCTCTGCGCAAGTCAGAGAGTTTGACAGTTGTCCAGGATATGGCACTGCTCCCCACGGGTTATACTGCTAGTGTATGAATACATATATATATATATATATATATATATATATATATATAATGTGTGTGTGTGTGTATTTTTTTTTAAGCGTTTCACCCCAAGCAAGGCGGGAAGCCACTAGAACGCAAGTGGTGACAGAGAGTTGGAGCGAGAGCAAATAAGAGTGATAAAGGAAGGATGAAGACAAGGATAGGGGATAGATCAGGGCATCTGTAGACGTCGATTGACATTACATTTGAATAGTTGGAGATGATAGCTATCAGGGAAACAGGAAAAGAGAAGGAAGTTCCACAAGCGAGAAGTGCGAGACATGAAGCTATTGGAGTAGAAGAGATGGCTACATTTAACAGTTTCGACAGTGAAAGGGTGAGAGCGAGATGCCAGCCTAGTAGAACGCTTAAATTCATGAAGTCTGGGAATCAGCGAAAGCAGCTCATCGGAGCAGTTACCGTGAAAGTATTTGTAAAAAAGACAGAGGGAGGCGATGGCACGTCTGTGAGAGAGCGACTGCAGACGAGATGCCAGATCAGGGCCATTTACATTGCATATTCGTCTCTGGATCTTATCAAGAACCTTGAGACAAACAGAAGGGGCACCAGACCATATATGGCAGTAATACTCCATGCAAGGGCGAATGGTTGATTTATAGATTTGAAGGATCGACTCTGATGAGAATAATATATATATATATATATATATATATATATATATATATATATATATATATGTGTGTGTGTGTGTGTGTGTGTGTGTGTTTTATTTAGTATGCCTTAGTATTATAAAGTCTCTCTCTGTGAACAAAGCATGTTTGTCATTCTTTTTCCTTTCAGCCATTCTGTTCCGTCCTGTCCGTGAACTACGGTGTTGCAATATCACGGTAAAAAACAATGATCATAACGGAGAATGCGTAAATGAGAGAATGAATCTTTCTTCCTAGCGCTCTCGTTACAGCTTGTTGCCACTTATAAGGCAGTTCTTCAATACCTTCTGAGAGAAATGCTACAGGTTTTGATTTGAAGACGTTTTCGACGAATTTTTGTAATCTGTTTTTATTACAGAAGGCATGAGACATCAATGGTTTTTGTCGATTAAAGCTGATAATCGTTTGGCGAAAGACCCGTTGAACATGGGGGAAGCGGCTTAGAACAGATCAACGGAGTTCCAAAAAGTTTTCCTTTAATCCAGTGAATTAACTACTCAGGTCTTAATTACCATGTACGATTAGTAATTAGAGCAATACATTCGCCATTAAAATTGGTTCTAGAAAAACGGAAATTAGATTCAAAATGGTATTTTTAAGATGTTCAAAAAGCAATAAAGATATTAGTTTAATGATATTTATCGTCGATAATACATAATAAAGTGTATAAAGCTACCTTCGTTTGTGTTGGAAAGGAAATGAAATATTTAAAAGGCAAAGATACAAAAACAATCATAGCTTAAAGAACAAAGATTAAAAAACGTAAAAGACAAAGACACAAAAAATAAAGAAAAATGTATCAAAAAACATAAAAGACTAAGATACAAATAAAAAAAGAAGTAAATGATACCCCCCATTAACATATGAAGACAAAGATACTAAAAAATAAAAAAAACAAAGATACAAAAAAGCATTAAAGACAGGGATAAAAAAGAAACATTAAAGAGAAAGATACAAAAAGGCATAAATACAAAGATACCAAGAAAACATAAAAACAAAGATACAAAATACATTAACGACAAAGATACAAAAAACATTACAGAGAAAGATAGCAAAAAACATAAAAGACAACGATACCAAAAACATCAAAGACAACAATACCAAAATATAAACAAAAAACAAAAAAACATAAAAGACAAAGATACAAAAACATAAAGACAACAATGCCAAAATATAAATAAAAAACAAAAACAAAACAAACATAAAAGACAAGGATACAAAAAACATTAAGACAACAATACCAAAATATAAATAAAAAACAAAAAACAAAAAAATAAAAAAGACAAAGATACAAAAAACATAAAGACAACAATACCAAAATATAAATAAAAAACAAAAAAAATAAAAGACAAGGATACAAAAAACATAAAGACAACAATCCCAAAATACAAATAAAGAAATAAATAAAAAAACCATAAAAGACAAAGATACAAAAAGCATAAAAGGCAAAGATACCAATGATTGAAAAATGGAGAACATGTATTGGTAAGAAGTAATCAATGTGGGAGAAGTGATCGATAGAAACTTCGATTGATCAATAACAATTCGACCGATATCGATTCGTTTACAGAATGTCAGTAGCACTTATTCACATTTCCTTTTAATTTGGGGTTTACTTCGGAATTCTGAATTCGATATCAATTATTTTGTTTTCTTTTTAAAGACTGTATAGCAACAGGGAACGGGAGAAACACTTCGTTCAAAACTTCTCCTTGACTTCAATGTCATTGAGTAATACAATTTCAGTTAATTAAATTTGCATACATCTTATCGCCTTTGAAACGCTATTTTACTTACAAACATAGTTATATATATATATATATATATATATATATATATATATATATATATATATATATATATATATATAAACCTGTATCAAACAATACTAAGTATCTTCTATATATATATATATATATATATATATATACTAAAACTTCTATTATATATATATATATATATATATATATATATATATATATATATATATATATATACAAACCCTGTATCAGCAATACTAAGTACACTTATTATTATATATATATATATATATATATATATATATATATATATATATATATATATATATATATATATACAAACCCTGTATCAGCAATACTAAGTACACTTCTTATATATATATATATATATATATATATATATATATATATATGTATGTGTGTGTGTGTGTGTGTGTATGAGTGTGTGTGTGCGTGTGTATATATATAGTTGTATATTTAGGCAGCAATCCTTTCTTTATGCATGTTTTATTAAAACGACAAACAAGGTACGACGGTTAAGCTTTATATTTATTTTTTTCTTGTGTTCTAACAAGAGCTTTCTTTTCTGGACAAAGGGTGTGTAAGAACTGTCCAAATGTTTTATATTTCTGAGCGTTTTCGGCTATACCTTTAGCCATTATCAAGGATGATTCGATTTTTCAACTTAATTGAGTGTGTGCGTTCTGTGTATGTCTTAGTGTGTGGTAGGGATGTTTTTAATTTCCGAATACGGTTAGCACATTGTGGCTTTGTTCGTAGTTAATATTGTTAAGAGTTGGCTTTTTCTTTTTTATTATTAAAGCTTCCATTATATTTAGTCTTTTTTTGCAGGTGGATGCAGTTAATATATTTGTGTTTTCTACTAGTATGTTCCTAATGGAGTCGGGTAAATTTTTGTGTGTGTTTAAATGGGTTCTAATGGAGCTATGATCAGATAGGTGTAAGATGTCTAGATAAGCAGACACCTATAATATATATATATATACATATATATATATATATATATATATATTGGGTACGAAGGGTAAATTATCACTTTTTATATATTGCGCTTGTTTGGTTTTGATTTTGGCGACTGCAGAGAATTCGGAAAGAGTTGGATGAGTCTAATGGTGATTACAAAGGCGTGGTAGCTCGGAAAATTCGCTCTGATCATTCTTATAAGAAAAGAACTACCGTAGTTGTTGGTGATGACCTCAGAATCAAAACGGAAGCCAATATCATGTGCCTTGTGTTAAGAGAGAGGCCGCTGGACGCCCCTATGTCTGGCAACAAGACTGCATTATGCCATACAAGCAGGATAAGCCGGCAGTCAGATAATTTCCACAACAACATCTGGCCACCTAACTCCCCAGATTACAATGTGTGGGAAGCAGTTGACCAATAGACAAATGAAACTCCTTGTAACACCAGAGATGAACTGAAGACAAGGATTATGGCAGTATTCACCAACTTAAACAAGGAGACCGTCCAGAAGAGTTGCAGGGGATAATTTTTGGGAAATATATCTGTTGAAATGAGATGTCAGTGTTATTTTATTTTTTAATAGAACCCTATATATATATATATAGTGTTAAAATTTATAATATTGTCAAAATTTCAAGGTCTTAAGATAATATTTGAATGTGAAATTGAAACCTAAATGATAGATTGATAGTGACAGACTGATATATATATATATATATATATATATATAGATAGATAGATAGATAGATAGATAGATAGATAGATATTATTGAATTGAAGTAGATATTTACAGATAGATAGATAGTAACAGACTGAGATAGATAGATAGATAGATAGATAGATAGATAGATAGATAGATAGATAGATAGATAGAAACAGAATGGGATAGATAGATAGATAGATAGATAGATAGATAGATAGATTGAATTAGATAGATAGATATTTATTGAATGGATAGATATTAACAGATGGAGATAGTAATAGATAGATAGATAGATAGATAGATAGATAGATAGATAGATAGATAGATAGATAGATAGATAATTATTGAATTGAAGTAGATATTTACAGATAGATAGTAACTGACTGAAATAAATAGATAGATAGATAGATAGATAGATAGATAGATAGATAGATAGATAGATATTTGCATATATATACATAGATAACGAATTGTGATATATAGATATTAAGAGATTGGGTAGATAAATAGATAGATATTAATAAATTGAGATATATATGAACAGGGTGAAATACATAGATTGATTTGTAATAAATAAGTTTATTTTTTCGTGAACAGAAAAAGTCATTTTTTTATGAATAAGCAATAAAATTTAGTTTAAGATCTTAAGGAATCCCAGATCTTGGAATGAGTAAAAGAAAGCGAAAAATTTTTTTTTTCTTTCTTTCCATTGTTTGAGTCACAAATAAAATTGCAGTTGTCTTCAATAGAAGAAGAAAAGAAAAGAAAAGAAAACAAAATAGAATGAAAGAAAAGAGAATAGAAAGACGAAAAAAGATGGAAGAGGAATGGCCGTTTTGTTTACTCGTTCCCGGCAGTCTCGCATCCCAACCTTTAAGTGCCTTCTCTTAAAATAAAAAAAACGTAATTGTCATTCTTAATCCTCATTCTGAATCGTCTGTTCGGGAAAATTTGGAGGCGCCATTTCTATATTTCAAAGGATTTTTTTTCAAAAGAAAAGCCACCCGCCCCGTCAAAAAAAAAAAAAAAAAAAAAAAAGAAGAAATTTGATAAAAGAAGAAAAAGTATAAAATGAGAAAGAACAAATGAAATCTGAAAACAGAACATGAAATTCTTCTTTTTCTTCTTCTTCTTCTTCTTCTTCTTCTTCTTCTTCTTCTTCTTCTTCTTCTTCTTTGTTCCGTGTTCCTTTAGGTCGTAGGTGATCATGACCCTCCATCCCCCCCATTTGTAGTTCTTAATCAATTTTGTCTTTTTGCTATTATTCCCAAACTCTGTTCCGCCATCCATTTGCTCGAGCCTATTATGTATGTTACGCCCTGATTTTCTCTGTCCCTATTTTCTGTGAGGATCAGATTTTCCAAGCCCTCCTTCCTCTTCACGTACCCCAGAAATTTTCAGCCGTGTCTTCTTGATGTTTAGAACAAGTGTCCTCTTCGTTTCCATTTTCTCTAAAAACTTGTCGTTGTTCGGATATTTGGTCCATGGTATCCTCAGCATCCTTCTGTAGAACCCCATTTCTGCTGCTTCAGCTCTCTTCATCTTTGGGGAGGTTGTCCAGCATTCGCTGCCATACAGGAGGAAAGATACCAAGTAACAGTTCAGTACTATTTTCTTTGATCCTAACGAATTTTTTCTGTCTCTTAATACTCTGCTTAGCATTTTGAAGGCATCTTTGCCCATCCCCTCTTCGGATCTTAGAACATGTATGAGTAGGCATGTGTTTAACTTCGTTTGTTTTTTTGTTTTTTTCATAGATATTTTTTAAATTTTTCATTTTTTGAGTAGTTAGACATTGAACAATTTATATTTAAAAATCTCTATCTATAAAAGGCGGGATGTGTGTGTGTGTGTGTGTGTGTGTGTGTGTGTGTAACGAATGCACGGCCGCAATTTTCGATGGATTTGCACCAAAATTTACATGCACATGCTCCAAGTTAGCGGGAAAGCCAAAACCGACTTTGCATTTCCCAACTCCCATCGATAGTGGAAATAATCGATTTTTTCATGCTTCTACGGTAGTTTTCATGTAGTTTGCGGCCATTTTGTACTGGCCAGAGTGAGAGCCTATAGCTGGCTGCCACGAATAGGCAGGAAGATTCTCTTGGCCAGCGTGAGAGCCAACAGCTGACTGACACGAATGTTAACTAGCATGCAAAAAAAATCGATAGCTGCATTCGTCACAAGTAGGAAAAAATTTAAATCTGCATGGCACTTTACTCCAATTGGCTCATTCGCTTGCTTAAACTCAACGTTTATTCTGATTCCGCAGAACTGGGTCGGGTTTGAAAAAGTATTTCTTGTTAACATTCTTTTTTCAATCGATTTTTCCAGTTACGAGTCCTTTTTTAAAGCTGATCGTTTTGTGTTCATTTTGTTTAGTTCTTTTTTCGTAACAGATTTAACGTTTAGTATAGAGCTTAGAAAAAATTCGCAGTATGAGATAGGCAAGAAGTAAGGCATGTAGCAACATCAGCACGGCAAAGGGCACTCCTTTAAAGGCAAGGAAGCGCAAATATATTTTAAGTCAAGTGATAGCGATTGCTGTATGAGTCGTACGATTTTTGAATCAAGCACGGGCAACGCCGGACCATGCTGCTAGTTTCTAGTGTACCATAAAAAATAAAAATAAATAAATGGCCCGAAACAAATCCTTTTCTTGCTACGCTATCTGACGACTCTAAAAAACTTAGCTAATGTAATTAAGTTTTCATATTTCTACAAAGAAAGCTCATTTGTTTTCAAAACAAACACACTATCAATACTGATATTTCTTCGGAAAGATGTTTTATTAATACACATATGTTCATTTTGAAAATGAATGACTTTCCAAAAAAACACCCACAAACGTTGCTGCAGAAGACCCGTGCCTGTCCTAGACACTGAGAATTCTCGTTCCTCGTGGGAACAAGAGGAGAAATCTCAACTTTCCCCCCACAAAATGCTACGATTTTGCATTCTCTTTTCGACCAAGGATAAAAGCTGTTAAACATTTATTCGAGCCTTGGGTTTGTTCATTCTAATCCATACACTGCTGAGCGCACACATACCCACGCGACCGGGAAAATCACTACAGTAAATAATAGATCAAATGCAATATTGGTGAACAATTCAAGTAGAAAAAATGAAAATGAATACAACGTGTCTAAATATAAATTAAGAGACATGTCAGATCATTCCATCAGAAATAAATCGACAATGTTTTGCGAGAATTTTTAACATCAACTTGAGATTTTTTCTTGTTAAAAAGTTGAATAATTTTAACACATTTAAAAATATGGACAAAAATACTGAATTTCCTACAGTGATTTTTTTCGAAACTCATAAGCAAAACAAATGCACGGATTTTGACAAAAAAAGACCCTAGAAAGTGTCAAAATCCGCGAAAAATTTTATCCTTTAATACTCAGTTAATCTTAGTTTAATCTGTAACATCACTATGTTTTTTTTTTCTTTCTTTTTTTATTATTAAAAGTGAGTTCACCTCAAGCAGGACACATGGCACAGTGGATAAAGGCGTTGGTTACATCCAGTGACAGGACCCAAAGAGTGTGAGTTCAATACCCGGTTAAGGCAGTGGAGAACTTTCAGAGGGAAATTAACAGGAGATAACTGATAACTGACATCCATCAAAACATGGCACGTGGAACTAGAACAGTCTGCACTTCGAAATTCCAACCACCTGAAGAAGGCCGGAGCGTCCGACGGCCGAAACGTTGTGATAAATATATCGACAAAGATTGGGACAATAGTCCGAATAATGTAAATAATGGGGGTGGAAGAATTAGAAAACACAAATATTACTAAGGAGGGGGAAGAAAAGAAGAGTAATCAGGAAGACAGTAGATAGACATTGCATTTAAATTTTTAAAGGTCAAATTTAGCTGGAAAGCATGGAACCAGAAGGGAGTTCCACAAGTGAGAAAGACATTGAGTTGACGTACATATGTAGGGGAAAAAAAGCAAGTGTTTATAGGTTAACGATTGTCGCAAAACATTGCTCGGGGCTCTCAATCAGGTTTGCCACCCACAACATTGGTCGGGGGTTTGCGGCTTGTACGCACCGGCCCTGCCCAAACACACAAAAGAGTTATCATAAATCACTTAATAAACAGATCATAATTAATACCTTGGATAGGACCAATATATTTGACGATCTTAAAAACATAAAAGGGACACACTTTTATGCAATGGCACAAAGCGGAGCGACTATAAACGTCAGAATCCATCTTGTACCTTTACAAATCTACCATTCGTCCGTGCATTGAATACTGTTGCCATATCCGGTCCGCTGTTCCTGTTACCCATCTCGAGATTCTTGGCAAAATCCAAAGAAAAGTATGCAATACAATCAATCCGGATCTGGCATCTCGACTTCAGTCACTTTCGTGATGTGGTTTCCCTCTGTCTTTTTGTTATAGTGGAACACACATATTCTATAGTTAATAGACTCTCCCACCTATAATAAGTAGGAGTAGTAAGAGTAATGAGTCGCTCAGTGGGTCGGTCTGAGTTCAGTCTGAAGTCGGACGACCGGCTGATCGGTTGAACTCTCTCCTTTCGGGTGGGGAGGTACCCGAACGAGGCTACGCCGAAGGGCGGATTTTCTTTCAGGGAGGTAAACCGACCCTGAACCCGTTTATACGGGTTCAATGGGCATATTTTTGGCCGAGCCCACGGGCTCGAGATCCCACGTTAAACCGGCCTTGTGCCACATGACGCCCTCGTTTGACTAAATACTGTCGATCAGTGTGTCGGTCAGTCAGTCGATGTCGGACGACCGTTAGTCGGATACTAAAATATCAACGACCGCAACTAGATTACTCTGCGTCATTACCTATTATATCAAGTTCCTAACGTTTTGTACGTCGAACCTATTTTAGGATCGACTACAAATACAAGCCTCCACTGTGAAACCACTCCATAACACTTTTCTACAAATATTCCCATGGCAACTGCTCTTTCCAACCCCCTGGTGAATTTAATAAATTTGAGCGTGCAACTAGATTGGCATATAGGTGCCATCTTTTTATTCTTGAAATAACCAAATGCAACCGCCATTTCTACACCAACAGTTTCTTTTTCTCGTTCTTCCAGTCCGTGGAACTCCCTTCCGTTTACTTGCTTCCCTGATAACTACAATCTTCAAAAATTTAAATGCAACGTCAATCGCCATCTTCTATCTTTTTGAATCCCGGTCATCTTTTGTCGTTTGTTTAAATTCGCGGTCTTCGCTTACACTTTCACACCCTGTATCTGCCTGCGTACTAGTGGCATTGCCGCCTTGCTTGGAGTGAAATGATAAAAAAAAACTCTCTAGATTGGACGATCACTTCTATACTGTACATATTTTGAATCTCCTGAAAACAGGGTCTTCAAGCCGTCCTGAGAATGTTTTGATTTTTGCCTTGTTTGATCATATCCAGTTGTCCAATCATGATCAACGAATATTTTTCCCCC